CATCCATCCATCCATCCATCTTTGAATTAAGGATTGTCCCATCACCACCAAATACAGTTTTTCCTAAGCTCACTCAGAAAAGCTCTGGCATCAAGAAGAGTCAAGGGACACCAAGGGAACCTTAGCTGTGGGTATCATTCCAGATACTGTACAGTGCACATCAACTGCCCATTCAAGCTCATCAAGTGTCCTGTCCAAGTGTCTATCTTTAAAGACAGAAGGGATTATTGAAGCCATTCTAACTGTGAAACAGAATACAGCGAACTCTTAAAACAACTTGAAAATATTAGACAAACAATGTGCATAAACATGTTATCATCCAGTGCTAATTTGTAGTGGGAAGAAGAACTTTGCTTTTCTGAAAAAACACATCTGCAAAGGCAAACCAAAGAAACTTCTTGTTTAGGAATAAGTGAACATTAGTTCTCCCCTGGGCATTGTGAATTCATCTCCTATCTAAAACTGAGTACACAGATTTCTTCTTTCTTTCTTGACTTTTTTTACTGCCATTGTTCAATAATTTTCCCTCTCAAGTTTTAATAATCTTAAAGCACAGCATCCTTCCAGCACTGCTCAGTGTGGAATTCATTAGAAGTGAACTACGAAGGAAGATGGAGGGGCCTCTGCCAGTTCACTCCCACTATTGCACAACTTGAAGATAATTACCGTTTTCTATATGAAAGGCCTCAACGTGATTCAAGGGCAACAAGGCTGGGCTACTGAGTCCTGCATGCTGAAGGAAAGAGCGAAGGGGCTCAGGTTTGCACCCCTGGATGCTTCTCCATATGCTCATAAGCCTCAGCTCTTTTGGGCTCCTGGTTGCACAGTGGAGAGTCCACAAGCATTGCTGGATCCCCTTCAATCTTTGCTGAACACAAGCAGCATAACATTGGGAGAGACCAATATTGTACTTGCAAGAAAGCCTTTCACATGAGTAATGTATAAAGGAGAAGAAACATATGTCTCAGCTATATCCCACCTTTCAATACTGTTGCCACGCTGAAGCACCACTGAAGGAAGGGAAGATACAAATACAACAGCAACAACAAAAACTGACAAACTATATTATTTAAGCATTTTATACTCTAAACTGGCAAACCATTACAGATTATTATACTTTTAGTAGAAAACAGATGAGCTCAAAATAGCATACCTTTTTCATGTAAATGCTGGATACCAGTGATACCACCAAGTGACCAAAAAGAAGCCACAGTATATATCCTTTGCCCCATTCCATCCAGAAACTCCATTCAAAATCAACTGGATCCTAGGCATAAATGGAACCAAACCATCATTAAACTGGTTTGAAATGTGCTAACATATAAAGAAACTGAACATATAAAACATACTTTCCTGGGCCAGCATTTTGTTAATATTGGTACTGAAATTCCTACCATCTCCAACATGTTGCTATATTAGCTGGAGATGAAGGGTACACATTGTAGAGACCCACCTTGGAGAAGCTCATATTACATTACTGTAATATTTCATGCTGGGAACCAGGGAAAATACAGAACTGTAACACAAATGGGTTTATTACACAGAACACAACAGTAAGACTTAGCTAGGCTGTCAGTGAGAGATCTATGCACCTTTACCCACTTACTCTTTTTTTCTTTCTTTTTCCATAAATAGCCTGTAAGTCATGATTTCAATGAGAGCCAATTTGGTGTAGTGGCACCAGGCTAGAAACCGGGAGACCATGAGCTCTGTTTCCATCTTAGGCACAAAGCCAACTTGATGACTTTGGGCCAGTCACTTCCTCTCAGCCCTAGGAAGAAGGCAACAGCAAGCCACTTCTTGCCAAGAAAAATACAGGGACTAGTCCAGGCAGTCACCAGGAGTCAGGACTGACTCAAATGCACAAAACAACAACAACAACAAATGATTTCAACATAATACTTTATAGGAACCTTGGACATTAGCAGAAAATGTAGTATAACACAAAATACTAGTGATGGCATTGAAGAGTCAATCTCTATAGTTATAGTCTGGCTATCAGCTTACTTGCTTGCTTATTGTCACTACGTTGTCCACTTAGATATGAGCACCTCACAGCATGGGAGCCGCATTCATTTATTTTCTAATTTATTTCCACTACATGCAGTCGGGAGAACTGTAGCTACATGAACTTGCCAGTTTCTGCTATATTCTAATTTTGGGGCTTCAATACAATGTCTCTTGCTTCTTTTTGAACAAGTCTTTTCATTGTAATATGAAGCTCACCACAGGGGCATTTCCATGTAGGTTCACTGATGCTGGTGAAAGCCAGCCTTGGTGGCTGGTTGTCAGGCACCCTCACATGGTTGATCCACTTCCATCACCTGATATTTTTTAAGCCCAAGGTGACCACTATTTTACACTTCCTGCAGACTTTTTCACATTAGATCATTGCTGGAAATCTGACACCAAGGACTGATTGATTGATCAAATTCATAAGGCCACCCATCTATCTAATGAAGCTATGGGTGGCAAACAAGATATAAAACATCAACAGTTGTAAAGCGCGCGCACACACGCACACACACACACAAACACAAAAGGCTGAGGGCCCTTCATTAAAATTTCAAGGACACCTATGCTGGAGCTCCAGAAACTAAAATTTCAAGGACATCATGCTGGAGCTCCAGAACTAATAGCCAGGCCCCAATTCCTGGAGGAGGAATCAGGACTTCCGAAAGGCAACTAAGCTTGGGGTTGTCTGTATCTCTGGGGGGAGGCTGTTCCATAGGGCAGGCACCATGACAGAGAAGGTACCATTCCCAGGACCCACCAGGTGACATTGTGTTACCGAGGGGACCTGGAGCATGCCCACTCCACTGATGGGATGGGCAGAAATAATTGGGGAAAGGTAGTCCCACAAGGATGTGATGTAGATAGCAATGGTCAAAAACATCTATTTTTTTTAGACTCAAAGTCTAGTAGCCCAGGTCTCATGGCCATTAAGAAGAGTTGGCCATACTGTTGTTCAGTTTCTTTGAACTTTGTGCTGTCCTGTATGTCTTTTTGTTTCCAGAAGTGGCTACCAGCAGCAGGGAACATTCCTATTCCCATAGAGCAGTGTTGTCCAAACTTGGCCACTTTAAGATGAGTGGACTTCAACTCCCAGAATTCCCCAGCCATGCTGGGGAATTCTGGGAGTTGAAGTCCCCTCATCTTAAAGTGGCCAAGTTTGGACAACACTGCCATAGAGACTTCCACATGCAGGGTCCCAGCTCACATGGAAGCTTTTGCAAAGAGACCTCAGCTCCCACTGCAATCAGTTATATATCCCAGTCAGTTGTGCTGCACCCATGGACCACTGGCTGTTGTCTGATGTCACGATACAGCTTAACAAGGGAAAGAGCTGCCCACCACTACCCCTGTGTTCAGATCTTCACATAAAGATATGACCTGAACAGGAGGAGAGGGCTGTTGTGAGAATGCCCTTCCCAAAAGATGCTATTCAGCTCTGGACAGAAGCTGCTACTGACACCAATGGCTAACCTCACTTTCCCAGAAAATCTCCCTTGCCAAGCCATTGTGGCTGCTACTTAAAAAAGAAATGTTCAATGCATTTATATATTTAATGTATAAATGAAATAATTTAATGGACAAAGGAGAGCAAAAAAAAAAAAAATAGGCCCCTTCCAAAATGATGACTGTACCTAATTGCCATTTGGCTGGTAAAATTGTCTCCATGAGTAGCCTTTCCAAAATATTGCATCAGAGAGGGGAGCAAAACCCTATGACAAAGTGCCATTTAGTAGCTGCATTTACTTATCTTTTTTCCTCTTTATTCCCCCATTTTATTGTAAGTCACTATTTCAAATTGCAGACTCTCTTGACAGAAAGGCAGTGGATAACATGCAGTAAATAAACAAAACTATTGCTTTTTATCTCCTAATATTTCCTTCGCGCTCTGCAAGGCAGCATTCACTTTTGGAATCTATTCCCAGGAAACTTACCAAGAACAATACATCCTTTGCACAGTGTTGATCAAAAGGAATTTCCAAATTAGAACAGAAAGCAGACAACCATCACTGTTGGTTTATGCTTCTATTCCTTGGGAAGTGTGACACAGATTTCAAATATATACCCCAAGAACTGCTTTCTTGCTTTAAACTCAAAATATACTATCAGAAAATCCTTAATGCAACAAGTAGGTTTATGCTTTTTAACACCTGCAGTCCTGTAATATGAGAAAAGAAAATAAATGTCCAACTTCTAATGGCCCTTTCATATTATATACAAAATGTGTGTATGCTATGGGATTTTCATATAAGTGTTTGGTTCCCTCTACCTATCAGAGAGAAGCAGGTAACCAGAAGGGTCACAAGCTAAGCTATCATAAATACCATTAGTCACCACTGGCTGAGCTATCCTAAACCTAAGAATTTCTGGCCACAATTACAGGTAGTCCTTGTTTAACGACTGCCTTGTACAGCGACCGTTTGCAGTTACAATGATGATGAAAAAGTAACTTAGCAACCAATCCTCACATTTACAACCTTCACAGGTCTGTAAAGCAAAGGAAAGCTGAAGTAAGATCATAAGCACAGTTGCGGTTTCACTTAGCAACTGCCTCACTTAACAATTAAGTTGCTGCTCCCAATTGTGGTCACTAAACAAGGACTACCTGTACTATGCTACTCAGCTTCTAAAAAGGAAGGAACACAAAAACATATAAAGGTCAATAACAAGAAATATGCTCAGCCTTGGAAACGTATAGGCATTTGAAAAATCAGCACACTGTGGTAAACATAGAAGCCTAAGGAAAGGAAATAGCAAGTGAGTGGTCCCAAAAAGTCAATTGGAACAGAGAAGAAAATAGACTCAGAGGAAAAGTATACATAGGTGTGAGCTGCAGAAATACAGAATGAAGTTCATACGTAGGTTTGAAATAACTACCCAAGTTTTGGGACTCAGTTAAAGCCACATATTTCTGCAATTATGCAAGAACTGAGTGCGGTACATAACAGATAAGATACAGACAAATAGATTGAGCTGGCTGAAGGACAAATACCTTAAATGACTTTATAGTTTGTTTAATTGAATTATGGCGATTGTAGTCAATCATATATTAATTATATTTCTAACATTTGTTATCCTATAGCTCAAGAATGCTACCAACTGGATAAGGAACTTGAAAGCAACAGATATAAAGACAAGCACTGTCTCCAATTTTCTCTTTTTATAGAAAGCTTTTGAAAAGGTGATTGCCTCGCAGCTTCAGAGGGACCTAGATGAAGTGAGTTATCTGGACCCTTCAACGCTAGGGTACAGGACTGAAATGGCATTGGTTGCACTCGTGGACAATCTCTGGAAGAAGCAGGATGGGGGCAGTGCATCCATCCTTGTTCTCCTTGATCTCTCAGCAGCCTTCAATACCATTGACCATGGTAATTTTCTGGACTGGCTCCAGGGATTTGGAGCTGGGAACACAGTGTTATTTATGCTAGTTCTTCTCGTTCCTCCAGAATTGGCTCCAAGTTGTGTTGGGGGGGGGAAGGTTTGCCCCACAGCCCTTCTTATGTAGGGTGCCTCTAGGCTTCACTCTCTCCCCACTCCTATTTAATATCTACATAAAGCTGCTAAGTCAGGTCATTTCAACAGCATGGGGTGAAATATTATCAATCTGCTGATGATACTCAGCTATACATCTCTGCTCCTGGCTGGCCAAGCAATGTTGTGGAGGTTCAGTCTCAGTACCTGAAAGCTGTAGAAGTCTGGATGGGGAAGAGAAGGCTCCAGCTCAATCCTAGCAAAACCACTCTGGCTTCTGTTATTAGGGACTTCTGGACTTGGTGATTTTCTCCTGGATGGAGTTGCACTACCCCAGACAAAATCAGTAGGTAATTTGGGGGTCCTTCTTGACTCACGACTCCTGTTCAAAGAGCAGGTGACAGCGGTGGCCAGGGGGGCCTTTGAAGAGCTTCATGTTGTGCACTAATTGCACCCCTTCCTGGATCAGGAGGCAGTGCTTTGGTTACCTCCTGAATGGATCACTGCAATGTGCTCGACATGGGGCTGCCCATGAAGAGCATCCAGAAGCTTCAATTGGTCCAGAATGCAGCAGCATGGGCAATTATGGATTTGGCTCATTATGCCACGTTATACCTTTGCTCCACAAACTGCACTGGCTCCCAATCTGCCTCCAGGTGCAATTCAAGGTGCTGGTTATTATCTATAAAACTTTACATAGCATGGGGCCAGGGTATTTGAAGGACCACATTACTCCCATTGTCCCATTAGGTCAGGAAGGAGGAGCATGTTCCAGATCCCATCAGTCAGGGACTGTCATCTATCAGGACTCAGAAAGCATGCCTTTTCCATAGCTGTGCCTGCCTTCTGGAACATGATACTGCCCAAGGTTTGGATGGCCCTGACTCTGCTCACCTTTTAGAAAGCCTTAAAGACCTCATTGTTTCCACAGGCATAGGGGCCAAGAGAATAATTGAGCCATGCTGCTGGTGTGTGGTGTTTTCAGGTGCCACTATGCACTTAGTTGGCTGGGAAATGTACACACACACACACACACTCATATAGCATTTTTAATCGTTGTTAGCCATCCAGAGTTACAGCCATATAAATTGACATAAATAAACTACTTAAAATGTAACATACCAATAGCACAGGAATATTAACTTTCAAGGCAGCCATACAAAAAATGCCATTTTCTTTATATTAAAACCTTAGAATTACACTTCATCCTCAAGATTTTCAGGTTTCTTGGCAAAGAATTTTGGTGATCATAAAGATATATGATGACAAAAATATATGTTTGTCATTATATCTTTCTCCAAACAGTTTAAAGGGTAGCCTTTAAAAAGTTTAGTAGACAACTTGTCTGAAGGAGGATAGAACTGTAAATACAGTGGTACCTCTACTTACGAACGCCCCTACATACGAAAATTTCGAGATACGACCAGCTCCGGCACC